TCGTCACGCTTCTCAACTTCAACTGAGCGTCGCTCGTATCCTAGCGACGCGCTTTGAGCGCGTATCGACGCGCTCCGTGCACCTCTTGACGGAAGTGTGTGTTCGATATGTGGAGCTGCTTGGTAGGAGATGTGCAGAGCATGGAGAGCATGCGGGCAGAAGGCGGCCGAACGCTTGGGATGTCGTCTGCGCATTGCAAGAGCTTACGGATGTGGCGCACATCGTGCAGTGGTTGCAGCAGGGCAGAGCTAGGGCGCCGAGTGGTGCGTCTAGCATACAGGGTGAGTGGAGTGGGGGCCGCGCGATGCGGGCAGGCAGGCGCGCCGCGCACATCCATTTCCCCATGCATCAGCTCACACCCCGCCCTCGCCACAGACGTGCGTGGTCAAGAGGTGCACTACACGGCGGTGCCGCGCGAGATTGTTCCGGATCTCGAGCTGATGAGAGAGATGGAGGAGCAGGAGGAGGGAGAGAAGGAGGAGGGCGAGGGCGAGGGCGAGGGCGAGGCAGAGTCGTCCGACGCTGTGCCACGAAAAAGACGCGCAATCACACCAGATTGGTTTCCTGATGAGCACATTGTACTGCACGATGTCGAGCATGCTGGTCGGCTGGTCATGCAGCGCGACGACGAGCAGAGGGTGGAGCGACGACGACAAGCAACGCCGACAGAAGTGCAAAGAGCGCAGACGGGCAGGATAGCGTGGGACGCGTCGCGAGTGGACGATCTGCCAACGCAACACCACGACCACGATGATGCGCACGGTACGCACGGTGCACACGATGCGCACGATGCGCGCGATGCTCCTGCCCCATCGTCCATGCGAGCATTTGCCAACGACTATCGCACCTTGCTGAGAGAGTCTTCTAGCGCACCTACAGCCACGCTAACGCCAAGCTCATCAGCCCACGCCTCTTCGCTCGCAACACGACGATCATTGGCGCTCTCGTTGGCCAATCGTCGACGTTTCGACCCGTCGGATTCGCTATACGAAGGCGCATCTGCTCGCCCGACGTGCTCACCATTCGCACCAGCTCCATCCCATCTCGTCACATCCAGCGGCGCATTTGCCCCTCTCAAGCCGCATGGCCGCTCCACTCATCCAATCGCCCCTTTGCCTTCCTCCACCAACACGGCCATGCGAGCAGCCGTAGGCACCGCGCTGTCTCGTCGCGTTCAACGAACCAAGGATCCGCTGCCTGTATACGACGCAGCGGGCGTCGAGCGAGTCTTTCACGGCGCTCCAGCATCGCGCGAACATTTCAAGCCACTCGTGGATGTGGAGAATGCGCTCTCTGCAGCGATCAGGTCGCTCTTGGCAGACTCGGCGCGCGAGGCTGCTTGCGCCGCTGCGCTCGCGAGTCAGGATGAGGGTGCGATGGAGGGGCGGCAGGAAGAGGAAGCGGTGCTGGATATGCAACGAGCTGGCGCATTGATCGCTACCAATCCGCTCGCTGCTCAGCAAGCCATCACCGCATCATCTCACGTCCTCAACTCGGCAAACGAAGAGAGACCAAAGGAGGGCGTCTTGGTGCATACGTGGGATTGGACGGCGCGGGACTACAAGGATGTGGATGCGCTGCCTGGCAAGCGCATTCGTGGGACGTAGATGCATGCACAGGATATTCAGCGTGTATTGTTCTGCTTGCATCGATGCGATGACATTGCGCCCGTCTAAAAGTGACATGACATTGCGCGCGCGCGCGCGCACGCACCTACAAAAAGTGCTCGAGTTCGAACTCGATGGCTGAGCAAGGGTAATCCACACCAAAGGCCTTGAGGACGAGCGGATGCACGACGCCGAGGGAGCCGATCCGAATCGCCTTCACCTTGGTCGGAGTGACCGCAGACGAAACGGCTTGTGCGGCTTTTGCAAGCGCAGAAGGAGGTGCTGCTTCTTTGCCTTGTTGAGGAAGCGGAATGCAGGGGTTCGCCTCGGACGCTGGTGGTGCTGTGGACGGTAGCTCCACCGCAGCAGCGTCTTGATCGCGCGAATCTTTGCTGGGAATGTAAAAGATTGCCGCTCCTCTTCCAGGCAAAAAGGTGGAATCTGTTGGGCAGGGGAGGGGGGAAGCGTGACGCAGTTCAGCAAGGGGGCCCCGCACCACGCGCTCGCACTCGCACTCGCACTTACCGTCGGCTTCCTCAATGTAGTAGTTGCCTCGCGCTCGACCTCGCGATACTTGCAGCTTGCGCATGACCAGATCCAACAGCCCATGCACCACCTCGAAAGCAGCCTTTTTATCCTCGTACACCGCAGAGACGTGCCGCTTGTTGATCGCGCCGCGTTGAGGATCGCGGTCATGAGCATCCTTGACCGCAATGTCCGACACTTCAAAGACGCGCAGAGGAAGAGCATGCGCTCGATTCTCTCGCAGCGTCTTGAGAATGCCTGGCAAGAGCGAGGTGCGAATGACTTGGTATTCGGCAGTCTTTGGATTTTCCAACACTACCGCCGTGCTTCCATCATCGCTGCGTCGCAGACTGGCAAAATTTTCGTCGTGGGAGCACTAATCGGTGGGGGAAGCGGGGGCATCGCGGCCGAGTCAGTTTGGTGCTGGCTTCGCCGAGTCAGTCGACTTTGCTCACCAAGATCAAAGGAAGCACTTCGATCCACCCTGCATATGCGCATTCCCGTCTGACCAGATCGCTGAGCTTGTTGATGGGCAGCGGCTGTGCGACGGTGTTGGTCTTGGGGAAGCGCCGTGGCAGATTGTCAAAGCCGTATGCCACCGCCACGTCCTCCATCAAGTCGCACTCGTGCATAATGTCCGGCCTGGTGCAGGGCACTGCCACCTCTACCACATTGGCATCGTTGGAGACGCGCGCAGAGTGTCCCATGCGTGCAAGCAGCGCCACGATCTCGTCGGAAGAGAGCGTTAGACCGGTGCAGCTGTTGATGTAGGACGCGCGAACAGTCGTTGATCGCGATGACAAGTCGGGCGTCAATGTGCGCGATCCGTCTGGCGAGATGACTGCGATGGGTTCGATGCTGGCGGACGTGTGTGCGTGTGCGCGTGCGTGCGTGCGCGCGAAATCGAGTCAGCACGCAGCGCCTCGCCCGCACATCCAACTCTACCCTGGCCCAACTCACACAAAAGGCTGCTCGGTGTACTCTGCAAACATGGCGACGAGAATGTTGAGAGCAAAGGCCATCTTTGTCTGATCAGTGGCTGTCATGTCGATAAAGACGTTGCGGGTGTTGAGGGTGATTTTGGAGTGCTCAGAGTTGATGATGGGGGGAAGGGAGCAGACGGTACGATTGCTGTCGAGGATGACCGGATAGCGCGGCTTGTCTGCGATGATGGAGAGGTAGGGCTTGAGGTGACGATCCGCCTCGAGCGTCTTCATGAGCAACGGCCCATCCATCACTTGACCCGGTCTGTTGAGCGGCGCAAAGGAAATGTCGCTGGGCGGCAAGCCTTCGTAGGTAAAGGGGCCAGAGATGGTGTCCAGATCGTGCGTGCCCATGGACAGCAGCGTGCGGCGTCTGCCCAGGTTCTGATGCAGCTTGTCCTGCAAGTCGATGAAGCTGGCATAGTTTTGCGGGGTGAAGCGCACGCCTCGCAGCACCGCACCGGACACAAAGGGTCGGATGGCCTTGACCTGGGGGGCGCGCGTGTGAGCGTGTGAGCGTGTATGCGGACATGCGCGGCAAGATGTTCACGCCGCCACTCCACTCACGCTGTCCTTGACGTGCAGCTGGATGACATTGGCGGGTGCAATGGCTCTCAGCGTAGGCTGTTCCTGCTGACCCAAGAACACGCGCAAGGCGCGCGAGATGCCCTCCAGACACAGCAGATCATACCGATTGGCTGGAATGTCGATCTTCAACTGCGGCCTCTCGTTTGTTCCCGCAACCTGCTGCGTCGTATCCTCATCCAGTTCGATGCCGAATTGAAAGCACAGCTCGTCGAATGCCTTTGTCGTGTACTCTTTGCCCAGTGCCGCAAAGAAGTCTGCCTTGTCCAGCGTGACTGTCGGCATCCTTGCGGGCGCGGGCGCGGGCGCGTGTGTGTGTGGGGGGGGGGG